CATAGAAATATTGAAAGTATTTAGTTTAACTATTACACCATTTTCAAAAACTCCTGTTCGGTTTTATTCCAAACACCAAATTTGAATATTCTCCCTTGAATCAGAACAGACGCCACACGATTATCTGATTCTCTAACGACGTAGGCGTGGCTGAGGATTTTTGGCGTATTTGGATTAGCGCCATGAAACTTGATATGACTGAAAAATTATTGATTATTTCGAAGCGATCCCCGTGATCCTAACTTTTCCTGCAAATGATATCTAAAAGTGGTCAACAGACAAAATATTTTTGATATTTTGATAAACATTTTTTCAGTTGTTCTCCGGAATTTGCGGGGTCTCATTTCAGTGATTTTCGAAGGGAATATCCTAGGTTTTCGAGCGAAAAAGTAGGTTCCTGATGGTGGAAATTCAGAAAATCGTACTTTAAAAAATTCTGTGACCTGCAATTTTTATGAAATTTGTCGAAAAAATGGAGATTTCATTGAAAGAATGAGCCTAGAAGGTGTAAAAATTTCCAAGGAAAAACAAACATTTTTAGGTGAATAGGGATCCCTAAAAAATAATTTAAGAGTAATTTTCAGGTCATTGATGAGAGAATATCAATCTTAAAATAGCAAAACTCTGAAAAAATTTTCAGAAATTCAAAAAATTTCAGAATTTCAAAATTCTGAAAATTAAAAAAAGAACATTTTTCATATAAATATAAATATCATTTATTTCTCTACAAAAAATTTCTGGACATTTCGAGTTCTTCTTCTTCTTCTTTATCTTCTCGCCTTCTGGAACATTCTCAATCCTTCTGCAGAAACGGCAACACGTGGATTCCGAATGTGTTGAGATGGATGAGGACGAACAGGACCAACGCGATAACCCACAACACGATCATTATCCAGTAGACGATTTTGACGCGTTTCTGAAAAATAAGGAATACAGCTTATGCGCTCTAATGCAAACAATTACAATTTTCTTCTTCAACTTTTTGACTTTCGGCTTGTCGACCCGATAGTTTCTCGAGTCCGATGGATCGGAATCTGGCAATTCCTGAACGCCGCTTCCCACCATATCATTTCCTCCTTTTACTGGCTTCTTGCTACTCGGCGCCTTATCAGATTCCTGAACGAGGGGCGGAGCTTGAGCCGTCGGTGGCGGTGGAACATCTGTGCCGTGGGGCGCGTTTGGATCCATGTTGGCATACGGTAGACCGCCCAAATTCTGATAATTGTCATCGGCCGAACGAAGTGGATCGTTTCCCGGATTCGCTGGATCATATGGATCGGCCATTCTTTTTTTTTTTTTTGGTTTTCAGGAAATGTGGATCAAACGATTCGGATTGGTTTTGGTACACCGATTAAGGAGAAATGTTGTCAAAAATTTTGAAATTCTCTCTAAAAGTTCATCGTGACCTTTCCACCCAAATTCCAGCTTATCCAGTTTTTCCAGTTTTTCCAGCTTCAAAAAAAAAATGTTTTTAAAAATATTCTAAATTGACCGAACCACATTTTTTCGCACCAAGGAACACCTCTTGTAGTGAGTTTGACCTTTTTGTTGGCTTCTGGCTAAGCTAGAATTTCGAATTTGTAACTCACAAAATTTCAAATCTCTAGCTTGTCCACAAGCTGAGGTACGGTATCTCAAGCGTGGCGGCCGCGTCGCGGCTCGGCGCCTTTCTTTGAAACGGTGTATCTCGTTTTCTGGTTGAGATACAAAACTGAAATTCTGTCAAATTACTAGTCATGATATGTTTCATGTTTTCATAAATTCCCACCTTTCCCCTTTAACAAACAACTGAGATACAGTACCTCAAGCGTTGCGGTTGCGTCGCGGCTAGACGCTTAACTTTGAAAAGGTGTATCTCGTTTTCTGATTGAGATATACAATCAAAATTTAGTCAACTTTTAAAACATAATCTGTTTAACATCTAAACAAAATTTCAAATTAATACCTAACATAGGAACCAAGATACAGCTTTTGGAAATCTCTAGTGTTGTGACATCTTGTAGTGTGATGGACGTGCAATGCTCGTACTGTATCTTAGTTTCTCGCTGAGTTGAAATGGTGAAGTTTTGCTTGAATAGTTTTCATTTTATAGACATTAAGCTCACAAAATTTCAAGTTCCTAGCTTGTCTACTAACTGAGATACGGTATCTCAAGCGTTGCGGTCGCGTCGCGGTTGAGCTCATAACTTTGAAAGGGCGTATCTCGTTTTCTAGTTAAGCTGAAGAACTGAAATTTCGTCAAGTTGTAGAAGATTAATACATGTTAATATAATGATCTAGATTTCAAAAATTTCCAGACTCTCTTTTCTGAAAAAAAGACGATGCAGAAAAATAACCAATCAAAGAAGCCATCATCGAAGAATCCATCGCCAGGCGGCGCAAGTGGTCGACCGAAAAAGGAGAAACCATCGAAGGATACGAAGAAGTCGAAGAATTTGGTAACTGGGAAGCGGACACCGTCGAATACAAAAGTGAAGACGTTGACGACGTCAGTGTCTCCCACGGATGCTGGTGGGGGCGGTACTCGAACAGCCGAAGAGGCCAAATCGGCAGATACGAAGCCGAAAAAGGAAATGACGAGAAAGCGATCAGTGACACCGGCGCCACGGGAGAAAGAGCTCAAATTGGAGCCAACTCAACAGGATGAGCCGGAGAAGAAAGAGGAGCCAGCAGGTGTTCAAAGTGGAATGGATGTTATAGTGAAGGATGACAAGAAGATAGTCAAAATGGACGATGGATATGAGGATTTTGGTCCTGGAGCTGCTTAGAGAACTCGTCGATTTTTTCTAATAAATTTTGAGATTTAAATTTTTACTTTTTGTTTTTTACTTGTAGCTCTTGATCAGTGTTTTTCTAGGCGATTCTGAAGTGTTGGCCTAACTTTTGCAAGTTGGGTTTTCTAGGCCATCCTTTCTAAATGACCTAGAAATACCCTGGCCATTTCAAAGTGGGGGCCTAGAAAACGGAGCTTGCAACAATTAGGCCACCACTTCCAAATGACCTGGAATACATAAACACCAGGAGCGTGTCGTCATGGCCTAATATTTGGAAGTTGAGTTCTCTAGGCCATCATGTTAAAGTGACTTAAAATTCCTCTTATATTTGGCTGGTGTGTTTTCCAGGTCATTTTGACGTGGTGGTCTAGGAAGCTCTTTGCAAAAGTTAGGCCACCACCAAAATTCAAGAGTCTGAATTTAAGGGTCTCAAAAACTAATTTAAAATTATCCGATTTCGTTGAAAATTGCAGGGTATACAAAACAAAACTAGAGCTTCATTTTTGTAGTTGACAACTTTTTTGTAGCTCTTCTCCTTGGAGAGATATGCCACGTGGAAGAGCAGTGAGTCTTTCGGCGCCGTCTTTCTTCTTCTTCGTTTTCCAATTTCCTTTTTCCTTTCCCTCTCATGTCTGCCACGTCATCATTGCTCTTTTCTCCGGCACCGCCCCCTTCTTCTTCTTCTTCGGAGCCCAAAAGAGCTAGAAAACGAGGCGCAGAGAAGGCAGAGAAGCCAGAGAAGGAATTGGCGAGCACGTGAGAAGCGCGAAAGACTATGAATATTGAAGAGACGGCTGACATTCTGGTTCAGAAGACGTGACGAAGCCTGGAATCGATGCGTGGCTCTCCACTTCAGTCTTGTCGCCGGCTCCCCGAAGATGCCGCGGCGTCTCCACCTGTTTCTGGCGATTTCCATTGCCACGTGGCATTTCTCAGATGCCACCACTTCGCAAATTCGAATGCCTGGAGTCGTGCCAGAGGTTAGTTGGGGTAATTAGAGGATAATTAGAGAATAATTATCTGGGAGTGTTTTTTGCAATCAGGTGGAAAATGTACATTCTCACAGAATTTAAACTTGAAAGGTTAGATTTTGCAATTAGCTGGGAAACTTCCTCAAGATGACGTCACTTGCTGAACTTTTGAATTAAAAAAAATATTTTTTTTGAGAATATTCTTTCATTGAGAATTTTCTTCGAAATTAGGGGAAAATCTCTCTCTCTCTCTCTCTCTCTCTCTCTCTCTCTCTCTTCCTGAAAAAGGGGATTATCTTAATGTCACATGATTCTAATCTCTGTGAATCAACCTATACTATTTTTTCTTTACTACCGTAATCCTCCCGATGTGCACGTCACTCAGAGTCCTAGTCACCAAAGATACAACTTTCATGTGCTTCTCCCGATTCGTTTTTTTTCGAATTTTTCCCAACAATGTGTTTTGTTGGTGTCTCCAGATAACCGGATACAAAAATACACATACATTTTTATGCCCTCAAAATTTTTTGATTGGTTTCCTGGGGCAGAATTCCAGGAAATTGAAGAGAGAGAGAGAGAGAGAGAGAGAGAGAGAGAGAGAGAGAGAGAGAAAATTACATTGCTCAGTTTGACGCTCTAAAAAAGTGGCTAGAATTTGCTCAATTTTTCCGAAATTTGCTGGACTCATAAAACAAAACTAGAGCTTCATTTTTATAATTGACAACTTTTTTGTAAATTTTGATCTAGCGGAGATATGACACCTGGAAGAGCAGTGAGCCTCTTGGCGACGCCACCTCGGTCACAGATGATGGGAGTGGTTCCAGTTGTCATATCTCCCCAGGCTTGAGATTTACAAAAAAGTTGTCAACTACAAAAATGAAGCTCTACTTTTGTTTTATATGCCCTGAAACTTTCAGAAATATCGGATAATCTTAATATAAATTTTGAGACTTTTGAATGTTCCAGGCCGATTCCTACCTATGCACCTCACTGGAACTGAGTGATCAAGAGAACTATCTAACCGGATTCAAAGCGCTCACCACCAAAGGAACCGCCCATCACATCTTGCTCTTCGGATGCGAAGAGCCAGGAAGCGATGAGTTGGTATGGGATTGTGGAGAGATGAACAAGCCGAACGATGAGATGCCACGTGCCCCAACTTGCGGATCCAAACCTGCTATTCTCTATGCATGGGCACTCGATGCACCACCATTGGAGTTGCCGAAAGGTGAGGGTCTTTTTGGGACAAAAATCATGTTTTTAGGACCTCTAGGGGCAGTCGTGCGAAGAGACGCAGACAGTTAGAGTGTCTCGTTGTCTGCGTCTCTAGCTGTACAACGTAGTTCGAGGTTTCCGGCTGAGCTAGAATTTTGGAACTTTGCTTAGATAGTTATTATATCCTAAGAATCAAGTTGACAAAATTTCAAACCTTTAGCTCGTCTAGGAACTGAGATACGGTACCTCAAGCGTTGCGGTCGCGTCGCGGTTGAGCTCGTAACTTTGAAATGGTATATCTCGTATTCAAGCTCTAGTGGGAAATTGAAATTTAGTCAATTTTCGAAAAATAATATGTTGAAAATATTGACAAAGTTTCAAGTACATGCGTTAAATATGAGCCGAGATACAGGCATTAGAAGTTTAGGAGAGACGCAGACAACTCACTTAAAAACTTTAAATGACTGTATCTCGGCTCTCTAATGAGCCAGAGAGTTGGTTTTTAGACTAATCGATAGCTTGCAAGCTGGGTAATTTGAAAACAAACTGAAATTTTCCAGACGTCGGATTCCAAGTCGGAGGATACAGTAATATCCGCCACCTCGTCATGCAAGTCCACTACATGCACTCTAAAGAAGAGCCAGATGAGACAGGTCTCGAGATCACCCACACCGAAGAACCCCAACCAAAACTCGCTGCCACAATGCTCCTGGTCACCGGCGGAACACTTCCAGCCAACAAAACCGAATCATTCGAAACCGCTTGTATGATTGAGGAAGACGTTGTGATGCATCCATTCGCCTACCGTACCCACACTCATCGTCACGGAAAAGAAGTCTCCGGATGGTTGGTGAAGGAGGACCAGAGTCAGGAGGACCACTGGAAATTGATCGGAAGACGTGATCCACAACTTCCCCAGATGTTCGTACCGGTTGAGGATGGATCAATGACAATTCAGCAGGGAGATATGGTCACTGCCAGATGTGTTATGGCCAACAACGAGGATCGGGACATTCCAATGGGTGCGACTGGAGAGGATGAGATGTGCAACTTCTATGTGATGTACTGGACAGATGGAGAGGTAATGAGAGACAACACATGCTATTCACCAGGAGCACCAAACTACAGATGGGGACGAGAGGCCGCATTGAATCATATTCCTAAATAGGACTCCTAAATAAGATGTGTTCTTTTTTTTCGAGATTTGAGACTTTTAAGATCTGACACTTTTTTGTATTATTTCATGAGAGACTTGTCACACCATCCCGTTTTTTAACCATCATCATCGCTATTGCCACACACACACACACCACCCAATCCAACCCAAATGAAGACGTTTGACTGTTAATTCTTTATTTACTCATAAAACAACCAAAATCTGAAATTCAGCTCCTTGCTTAAGAATGGGATTGATCACAATTCAAAATTCCCCCTCCAGATACTTCTTCGGAATCATTGCTCATATCAAAAACCACACCCCTCTCATAATTTCCGATTCCGTTGATTTTCACATTGAAGAAATTTGAGGATCCATATTCCCAAAATGACAAAAGATTGAAAACCAGTTTTTGCTTAGCTGGAATCTTGAAGAGCAATCCGGTGAGCTCTCCTGGGAAAATTACACTTTGCTTGGTTTGTAATGAAGCTTCAATTATTTTCAAAAATCGTTAATTATCTTAATTTTTCAGAAAAAAATTAGATCTAAAATTTCAGTCAACTTTGAGGCTCTATTTTCCTGAAAATCTCTGGACTTATACAACAAAACAAAAGCTTTATTTTTGCAGTTGACAACTTTTTCGTAAAATTCGATCTAGAAGAGATATGCCACGTGGAAGAGCAGCGAGCGTCAGAGCTCCGCCTCTACGGCTGACGGCCCACAGGCGGCTGACGCCCACAGATAGAAGGAGACCCGGTTCCACGTGTCATATCTCCACAGGCTTGAATTTTACAAAAAAGTTGTCAACTACAAAAATGAAGCTCTATTTTTGTTTAGTCTATTCCAACATTTTCAAAGAAATTGAAAAACTATGAATTAAGTTTCAGAAATCCCTAAATCTACCATTTTTGGTTCTGAAATTTCATGCTCTCCATTCAGAATCTTTAAAATTGTCTAACAAGCAAAAACCGCTAAAATTGAATGCCCTTACCTCTATTATAAATCCCCTTGCATCCTTTGAAAGCGAAATCTTCTTCAAAAAGTCCATAGATCCTTGAGGCATCCCTGCTTTCCAACGCGCTAGCAAATCGAGTAATCAATCGGAGCCCTTTTTCCTCAACCGAATATCTTGGGTCCGTTCGAAGTACTTTACATTGAGGCTCAAGGATCACACCCCATTCCAATTGTTGGAACTTCTTGTTAAGACTAAAAGTGGCTTCAATATAGTTTGGTCTGAATCCAAAGACCATGGCTTTGAATTCGATGGAAGAGGGCCCCATGGATTGGACTGATTTGTAGATAGCCAAGAATCTATTGGGGTCAAAGTTAGGATGGGTGAGAAGATTGATGGTTTGGTCTGAAATTATTTTATTTTTTGCTATAATAAGATGTGGGGCTAGAGGAGATCTAGGTGGTTAATTCGACTATATTAGAACGGCTAACGGCTGTAAGTTTGGAACCAGAGGTTGTACAATTTTCTGATTTAAAAGGCCTCAAAAACTATTTTCAGATTGCCCAGCTTTTCTGAAACTTGCTGGACTTACAGAACAGAACTAGAGCTTTATTTTTGTAGTTGACAACTTTTTTGAAAAATTTGATCTAGCGGAGGTATGCCACCTAGAAGCGTCCTTCAGGAGTGCGCTCGCTCCCACGGCAAAGGGAGCGGCAAAGAGAAGCCCCTACAAAAGTATGTCAACGTTGATAAATTTGTCTGAAATTTTTGAAGCATATAGAATAAAACTAGTGCTTCATTTTTGCAGTTGACAACTTTTTTGTAGCTCTTCTCCTTGAAGAGATATGCCACGTGGAAGAGCCGCTGGGAGCCTGCCACCTCGGCCACAGATGCTAAGGGCGATTCCACGTGGCATATCTCCCCAGGCTTAAATTTTGCAAAAAAAGTTGTCCACTACAAAATTGAATCTCTATTTTTGTTTATTCTATTCAAGCTTTACACTGACCTGCACATCTAACTCTAAAATGTTCAACTCACTCTTATCATAATTTCCTTGACACTTTTTGAACATGAATCCAGGCTCAAATAACCCAGAAATATTCGATACATCTCTAGATTTCAAGGATCTGTCAACTCTTCTCAAAAACTTTTGGATCATGACCTCGTCTGGGTTTGATGCTTCAGAAGGGGCAAAAGCACCGTACGCTGAGAAGAGGAAGAAGAGAAAAAGAAGAAAAGGAAAATTCATTCTTCAGGGAAAATGAACTGAAAAGCCCCAAAGATGGTTTATATAGGAATTCAGCTAATCGAATTATAGCCATTTTTTGAGAATTGTCCGTAAACACCGCCACGGTCAAAGCTAACTTTTGATCTATCTAGAGATTATCATTTTTTAGTAGAAATTCTCAATGGAGCGAGTTTGGAATGCTGAAATTCTTTATTTAAATAAAAATTAATTCAAATTCAATAGAACATAAAATTCTGGTGCCCTGGACACTTCACCATGAAGCCTCTCTCCAATTGTTGTGCAGTTCTACCGAACAGGAACGCCATCTCGATTTCTGACATTCCGAATCCAGTGACTGTCACAGTGTACTTCACAGTGAATCCCAGGTCTTCAACGGACTTGAGATTGAATTTGAATTGGGATCCAGCTGGCACTTGTTGAAGGATACCGACGACTTGGGCTGGAAAAATATATTTTTGTAGTGACTAAAATGAAGGGATTGAAAAACCACACATTTTTATATACAAATCAAGGCTCTCGGGCTTATAGAAGCTGAGATACAAGGGTTCTAAATATGGTCTAAAAGGGGAAAAGCCTCTAAAATTTGAGAGCGTCCACAAATAGGTCATTTATAATCGATAGATTTGAAATTTGGTGAGTATACTAAACAAACTTAGCGCTTCATTTTTGGGAAGCTGTAGATTTTGAACTCTCCTCTACAAAAGTAGGTCAACGATAATCAATGACTTTGAAAATCTGTAAACTTATAGAACAAAAAAAGAGCTTCATTTTTGTAGTTGACAACTTTTTTGAAAAATTGAGTTCTGATATATGTTCTGAGATAACTAACCCTTGCTATAAGTTCCTCTGCATCCCATGAACTTGAAATCTGGCTTGAACAATCCGGAAATAATAGAGACGTCTTTGGACTCAATTGATCTTTCAACTCGATCAAGGAAGCGTCGAACCATGCTTTCAAGACTGTCCTTTTGAACCGATCCATTTGAGTCTCCAGTGCAAGTCTTGATGATACCCAATTCCAACTGTTGGCTTCTTTTGCACAGAACGAATTCAGCGTCAATGGGGAAGCGGCTGAATCCAGTGATAATGATACCGTACCTAATGGAATAACCGTTGTCCTCAATTGATGTGAGAGTGAGGGTGAAGTTGGTTCCGAGTGGTAGTTGGGAGAGAGCATCGACGGATTGTTCTGGAATTTTCTTGGCCACAGTAGGAGCTATCGAAAATTTGTCAACTAATAAAATTTGATCTATGATCAATGTCTTTTATGCTTCCTACCCGAAAGCCTAAAAACTAAAATGAAGGAAAAATGAATATTACATCAGTTTGTAGCTCTTTTTCAATCCTACATTTTTGTCCAAATATAACATTTCTAGAATCACTGGGAGCCGAGATATGAGCATTTGAAGTGTTAAAGCTAGAGCGCAGACAACCAGACAGACTGCTTCTCTAACCTCTGCACACATCTCGGCTCCCAGTGGTCCTAGAAACTTGTTTTTTTCACGATTCCGTCCAGAATTTGATCAGTTTTCAATTTATTGAGCTAGCGTACATACTGGTCCTTTGAGACTTCCTGGGATTCTTCCCCGCGTAGCTCAGCTCATGGAACTCACCTTTATCATAGTGTCCTTTGCATCCTTTGAAAACAAATGAGTCCGTGAGCAACCCATCAATAATCATAGGATCTTGGGACTCCAAGGAGCTCACAAACGTTCTCAAAAAGTTCTCAACCATCTCTCGAGAAGAATCTTGTTGATAGAAAGATCTAGAGAATTCTGGATCATCGGGAACAAATGGTGGTGGAGATGAGAAGGAGAAGGAGAAGGAGTTCCATTCTTTTTCTTGAAGATAGAATGATCTTTTCGGATGCCAAGGCCTCCTTTTATAGTTTTCAAACAAATCGAATTATGACCGATTTTTTGTGTATTTTTGTGTGCGTGGGTGGATGATGGGAACTGGAGCCTTTTCTTTTCCGTCTCTTGGTTTTTGAATCTCTCGTTTCGGCATATAAAAAGGCAAGTTCTGATTCTATTTTTTATTCTATTCTCCTGAAGAAATGAAGCACGTCTTTATTCTTCTGAACGTCTTCTGGATTTGGATTCCCGGGCTCTCTGAAGCCTTCTTATTCCCAGAATCTGAGGATATTTCTATGATTTTCGCAACGGGATTTTTGCACCGAATGCGTATGGCGATATGTGTGAAAGATAAATTCAAGCTGGGACAAATGTTTTACGATGAGTTCGAGTTTGATGGATGTGAAGGACAATATGGTAAAGGTGAGTTCCTAGGCTGAGCTAGAGGTTCAGGAGGTTCGGTAGGGAACCCCAAGAGACCATTTCTAAAGCTAGCTCAATACTTTTTGTGTTTCTGAAAAACTGAAAACTGATTTTTTTTCCCAAATTAAACAAATTATGAGCTATCGATTGGTCAAAAAACTAACTCTCTAGCTCCTCAGAGAGCCGAGATACGATTTTATACAGTTTGAGGTTAGTGACGCAGTGAATCGTTGTCTGCGCTCTAGCCTTGAAGCTTCAAACGCTTATACCGTAAACACTTTAATAGAACGCCACCCGAGTCGTCAAACTTGAGCCAATGTATCTCATTTTCTGTGATAGATATCAAAAAGTGGTTAACTGATAAAATGTTGATAACATCATGATAAACATTTTATTAGTTGAAAAATTTGTGATATCTTTCAAAAGAAGTGAGATATATTGGCTCAAAGTCTACGGCCCGTGTAGCGTTCTATTAGAGTGTTTACGGTATCTCGGCTCCCAATGGTTCTAGAAAAGTTGTTTTTGAATGGAAATGTAGGAATTGGAAAGGGCTACAAAACGATATAAAATATGTTCAACTTTTGTTTTTTATTTTTTTATTTAGGAAACGTAAAAGTAAGGATCATTGGGAGACCATTGGCCCACCCTCTACTAGCCCAATTATCTTTGAATTTGTAAAAAAATTGAAAATTGATAGAATTCTGGGAAGAATTGTGAAAAAATCAAGTTTCTAAGCCGACTGAGAGCCGAGATGTGTGCAGAGGTTAGAGACGCAGTGTGTCTCGTTGTCTACGCTCTAGCCTTGAAATTTCAAACGCTCATATCTTGACTCCCAGTGGTCCCGGAAAAGACATATTTGGACAAAACAGTATAAAATATGTCTAACTTTTTGTTTTCCGATTTTGGATTCTCTGATTTTTAAAACTTGAAATTCCAGCTACCGTAATCGACATGCTTCTCTACAATCCTGACTTTTCCAAACTTGAAATTCACTTCAACACTTCTCATTTCGTCAACGGAAATTATATCAAATCTACTGTAGTCCTCAGAGGCATCGGTTCAGAAGACGTCACTGCTGACTTTGTCCTGCTTCAAGATAAGATCAACGTCTGGGGTCGGTCTGGAGGCTGGAGACTCGCCTACGGAAAACTACACAATTGTCATAGTGGCCAGAGAAAATTGACCTATACCAGAGGTGAGTTGCGGCCGAAAAAATGTCCATTAGCCCTTCTGACTTACATCATTTTTAGAATCCTACCTCCCACCATCTGATGACTCTTCTCATCTCGTTGTCGAGCGATTTTTACAACGAATGGATGAAGCGATAAATTCAAAAAAGAAGCATAAACTGGAGCAATTGTTCTTGGATGAATTCAAATTTTATGGGTGTAAAGGACACTATGATAAGGTTACCGTAATCCAAACGCTTCTCTACTCCCCTGCCACTTCTCAACTCGAAGTTCACTTCAACTCTTCTCATTTCATCAACTACAACGTCGATATTCAGTATACTGTAGTCGTCAGAGGAATCGGTTCAGAAGACGTCGTTGCAGAGTTTATTCTGATTCGAGATAATATTGGAAGCTTCTGGAGACTCGGCTCCGGAAGACAACCCAGTTGTCCAAGTCGAAAATTCGCCGCTTTCGATGATCCATCCGAAGTTTTGACAGCGTTTTTGGAGAGGGTTAGAAGGACTATTGAGATGAAAGATGTGTACAAAATTGTGAATTTGTTTGAAATGGACTTTGAGTTCCGAGGATGCAAAGCGACCTATAACAGAGGTGAGTGGGATCTTAATGAATTCGGTCCATAACCCCTTCTGGACCTGAAACCTTAAGACCCTTTCAGAGACTCATAACTTTGTTAAAACTTTACATATTCTTAAAAAATTAAATGCAAAAGGTAGGAGTAGAAAAGGGCTACAAAGTGGTTGTAAATTTGTCTAACTTTACTTTTCAGGGTTCCGGTTAGGAAACGTCAAAGTAAGGATTACCGTATTTCATCTATTAGGTTGGCGGGAAAGTCTTTGTCACTCTGTTTGTTTAATCACTGTTCTCGTATATGGAGGCTGTGTATGATATCGACTCTAGTGAATAACAAGGTGATAAGAACCTTCCATATAAACAAGTCCCCATTTCCTTCCCTGCTCCTCATCTGTAATTGAAACGATATGTTTGTTCCCACTGCTATTCACATCAGACATGTTTTGATTTACCTCTTCCTATCTCACACCACGATGAAGGATTCGGAAACTTTCTTGAAGAATGTGTACAACACACATGCCCCTCACTACAATACTATTCGCAATTGGTTCCATCGTTTCGAAAAAGATGACTTCTCGCTCGATGAAAAGGATCGCTCTGGGAGACCCCGTGAGTTGGATTTGGACAAGCTGAAGCACGCATTGCAATCGGATCCATTTCAATCTAGCCGTGAACTAGCTGTCACATTCGGAGTTCACCATAGCACAGTCCTTGAAGGTTTGAAGTCTCTTGGAATGAGAAAACTTTTTGGTCGATTCATACCTCATCACCTGACTCAAGCCAACCTTGACCGCCGAGTCGACGATTCGATTACTCTTCTCACTCTCCACGCGGGCGATCGATGGCTGGACCGGCTAATAACCGGAGATGAGAAGTGGGTCTTCTACGATAATCACCACAGGAAATCCCAGTGGGTTGGAGAAGGAGAGAGCCCACAGGATGTCCCCAAACCCGACCTTCATCCGAAAAAAGTTATGCTCTCTGTGTGGTGGGGAGTGGACGGCCCCATCTACTGGGAACTTCTGCCCGAGGGCAAAACAATAACTGGAGACCTCACACTACTCAACTACGAAACCTCAAGAAAGCAGTCGACCGTTCGGCCCTGAAAGACAAGAAAGTGTACTATCAACATGATAACGCTCGCCCACATGTTTCGAAACAAGTGAAGCAGGAGCTGATGGGATATGGATGGAATGTTCTCCCTCACCCCCCGTATTCTCCTGATCTTGCTCCTTCCGACTATTGGTTATTTGGCGATATGACACGTGCCTTCGAAGGAAGAAGCTTCAATTCCCGTGGAGCGGTCGAAGCGGCACTCAAACAATACTTTGCCTCACGCCCGGCTGGATTCTACCGCAATGGAATCCATAAATTGAGGGAACGTTGGAGACATGTTGTTGATAATGATGGACAATATAATTAATTATTCGGTTATTTTTTCTTTGAGAAACAAACTATTGAAAAAGTGACAAAGACTTTCCCGCCAACCTAATAAGCCCACCCAAATTGTCAACTTTGAGCTCAAGTAACTCGATCCCAGTCAAAGATATCAAAAAGTGGTCAACTAATAAAATGTTTATCTTGTTATCACCAACATTTTATTAGTTGGCAAAATTTTAATTACTTTGAAAGTACCCGAGATAATTCAGATCAAAGTTCAAGTAGAGACGACACCTATGATCCTTACTTTGAAGCTTCCTACCCGAAACCCTGAAAACCAAAGATAGACATATTTTATATTATTTTGTAGCTCTTCTCAAATCCTACATGGTTTTATGTTGAAAAATATAAAGTTTCAGCCAAGTTATGGAGCTTCAAAGGTTCAAAAGAAATAACCAATTTTCCAGACCAAATCGCCTCCATTCTTCTCAAAATCCCAACAGGAACCAAATTCTCATTCACTTCGGATTCATATGAAGATCATGGAAACACTTATAGCTATAGAGTTACAACTTCTGGAATCGGTGGATCTAATTGGGTGGCTGACTTTGTTTGGAACAAAAGTACCGAGAAGTTGGAGAGAGGAAGTGTACCGTATTGCTCTAAGGGGCGAGTATGAGAAACCGAATCCGTTTCAATGATACATTTTCGGTTTTAAATAAAAATATTGAGCATTGATGGAATTCGGGGTCTGTTCTAACAAGGGAACCTTTTAAGTCAAGGTTGGATTGAGCAGCGCCCTCCCACTCTCTCATATGGGAGGGCGTTGCTGAATAACCAATAAGAAAAAGATTGAGCGCGTGACACGGTGGAAGAGTGATAGGATTGTAAGCTGCAGAGCAGGGGTACGAACCCGCTTCGGTTTTCTTATTTTTAAATATTTTTTACATTGTTTATTTCCAAAACTATTAATGACAGATCGCTAATTTATGCAAAATTAACATCTTTATTTTAACAAATATCCATTAAATCGGAAATTAAAATTCTCTCTTCTGGTATTCCTTACAGAATGCCTCCTCGGCACTCTCCATCCGATTCATTTGCTTGTCAAATGTCCCTTTAATGGATTTGTATGGGTTTCCGACTTCTCCACTGATCATTTTAATCTTCTGGCCATTGTTTTCGGTAGCGACGATAGCGATGAAGAATTTCGAATTTCCGCGGTGCTTGAAAAGGAGATCCAGGAATTTCGCTAAAAAAACGGGTTCTGATATGATGTTTCTGATAGGCAGATCGAAAAAAAGGAAATCGAACTCCCTTGAATGCATCCATGATAACCATTACACCACGAGAGACGCAGAGAAAAGAAGCTGCCGCGCCCTTCTTTTCTACGCAAACCACTCCCTCTTCTCTCGCCGCGTTCGTGGTGTAATGGTCAGCATGGATGCCTTCCAAGCATTCGACGGGGGTTCGATTCCCCCCGAACGCAGAACTCTTTTTTCTTCTTTTTACTTCTTTTTACCTCTATCATAAGTCTTTTTGCACCCCTTAAAAACAAAACTCGGCGCTAGAAGCACAGAAATCAATTGCTCATTTCCAGCACGGACTGCTCCATTGAGTTCCCGAACGTATTGAACTCCAACTGGATCCATTTCAACTGGTTCTGGCACTGATCTTGAGATTCGTTTCCTTCGACACCCAACTTGATTCGCTCGTTCCAGTCGGTTCTTGGATTCGTTTAGGACTGATTTGACCTCAAAAACAGCCTTTCCATGGTCCATGATCTCCACGTTGAATTCAATGTAAGGTTCGACGAGTTGGGCGGATTTGAGGGTGAAGGTGTATTGAGAGGATGGGTCGGAGAGCAATTTGAGAAGGTCCGCTGGAAAATTGGGGGCTTTCATGAGAACCAGGATCAGGATATGAGGTCAAGAATCCATTCATGGGGTCCAAGATCCATTTATGGGGTCTAGAAGCGATTTATAAAGTCCTGGATCCAATCACGGTGACCATGATCAGGATATGGAGACTAGGATCTATTTATGAGGCCTAGAATGCAATCATGGGGCCCTATTTATCTAAAATTTTTTAATGTGATCTCGGAGCCATTCATGGGGTCTGGGATTCATTTGAGGAGTCTAGGATCCATGTATGGGGTGCAGGACCCATTCATAGGGTCCAGGATATAATCATGGGGACCATGATCAGGATCTGGAGGTCTAGGATTCATTTATGAGGTCAGGGAGCGATTTATGAGGTCAAGAATCTACTTATGGGGTCCAGGGTTTATCTATCGGGTCTAGCATTCATTTATGGGGTCAAGCATCAATTAATGGGGTCTAGGATCCAGTTAAGGGGACTAGAAACCATTAATGTGGTCTAGAATTCTTTTATGGGGTCTGGGATACATTCGTGAGGTCTAGGATCCATTAATGGGGTCTAGAAACCATTAATGGGGTCTAGAATCCATTTTTGGGTCTAGAAACCAATAATAGGGTCCAGAACCCATCTATGGGATCTATAATCTAGTTCTAGGGTTTAGAATCCATTCATGGGGTCTAGGAGCCATTTATGGGGTTCAGGATCTATTTATGGGGTCTATGGTTTAACTAACCCTTTGCCCATGATTTATCACACTCGAAGAGCACAAAACTCGGAGAAAACATGTCTGAAATCTCCTCCTGGCTCCCTGAACGAATGGTTTCTTTGAAATGATCTAGGAACTTCTGTACAGTAGCCTCCGATGATCCCAAGCATCTTGGAATGGATCCGAATAGCAGAAAAATTATCAAAGAATACATTTTTCAAAAAATTACTGTCATCTGCCCTCTTTTATGCACGGGAACATCGAAAAGGGGGAGATGGGAATGGGAACGGGCGGTGTCTTTTGAACTGATTTTGAGTTGGGAACGGGGAATTTTGGTTTTCGATCTTTTGACTTTTTTCTTTATTAATTTTGAGCCAATTTATCTCAGTTTCTGAGAAAGATATCAAAAAATGGTCAACTGATGAAATATTTCTATTAAAATGTAAAACATTTTATCAGTTGACCACTTTTTGATATCTTTTATAGGAACCGAGATGAATTGGATCAAAGTTTGCATTCTCTTTCTGCTCGGTTTCAAATGTTTCTTTTTCTGATTTTTTTTTTTGAAAATAAAGCAAAACACCGATATCTTAAGTTTTCAGCCAATTGTTTCTGAAGTTTTCGAGAAAAGACCTGTTTTTCCATCAACCCCTCTTGAAAACGCGCCAACGGCACGCCAGTCGCAGTTGTGTGGATTTACGCTAAACCGCGCGCATCTACGACATTCCGCCATCCCGCCTTTCTTCGATTAATTTCAACCCACTTGTGAATTAAAAGTTGCTCGTTTCTTATTGATTTTCCTCATTTTTTCAATTGTTTCCAGTAAAAAATAACGTTTTTCAGCGAAAAAATGGTGTTCGATCCAAGAACTTTGGATCAGCCAAAGGATATCAGCGCCTACAGAGATCAGAGATATCAGGTAGGAATTTTAGGACGAAAATCGATGAAAATGAAAAAATCAAGAAGTTAAATGCGCTGAAAAACTCGATTTTAAGCATCAGAATTGTCGAAAACCCATGAAAAATGTCGAAATTCTGAGATTTTTGAAAAAATTCTTCAAAAACAATTTTTTACTTTCCAGGGCTCCGTTCGCGACCAAGAATTGGCTCTCCGCACCTCTTGCACACTGTACGTCGGAAATTTGTCATACTACACGAAAGAGGATCAAGTGTACGAGTTGTTCGGACGTGCCGGCGACGTCCGACGCGTCATTATGGGTCTCGATCGATTCAAGAAGACGCCGTGTGGATTTTGTTTTGTCGAGTGCGTAAAAACTATAAATTGGTTTGAAAAAAGCCAAAGTTTTGGAAAAATCAGTTGAAAATTGTCTGAAAATAGTCGAAAAGTGTCTGAAATTGCTTTAATTTGACTAGAAATCGGTTCTATATGAGCTGAAAAGGGCTCAAAGTGCTCTAAAATTTGTTCAAACTGGTCCGAAATTTGTCAGAAAGATGTCAAAGAGAAGTATCCATAAACTTAGCACAATATTGACCAAAATCAGGCATGAATAGTCCGAGAATTAGGTCCAAATCACGCCTAAAAGGGTCTGAAATAGCCCCAAATCCACCCCAAATCCATCAAAACATGAAAATCTCTAAAATTTCCAGATACTACACCCGCGAGGACGCCGAACTCGCTCTCCAGAACATCTCGAACACTCGAATGGACGATCGTGTGATTCGCGCCGATTGGGACGCCGGATTCGTCGAGGGACGTCAGTATGGTCGAGGCAAACACGGTGGACAAGTTCGTGACGAGTATAGAAAGGATTACGATCCGGAGAGAGGAGGATACAATCGAGCGATCGCTCAGAAAAGTATGGTGGAATGAAAAGAACTGAAAACGTCGATTTTAATCCATTTTTAGCTCAAAAATCTGTGATTTTCTACGGGTTTTCAGCAATTTCTCAGCTTCAAATCGTATAAATTCGTGATTTTTGGAACTGCTGAAAACCTTAAAATGCCGATTTTCCGTCCATTTTCAGCTCAAAAATCAGCTGAAAAAAAACAAAAAAGTGGCGGAAATCCAGCTGTTTTCAGTGCTTTTTTAACGTATTTTCAGCATTTTCAGCCTAAAAATCGCTGAAAATCATCTTTAAAAACTATTTTTCAGCTTTAAAAAACCCAAAAAACACTAAATTCCAATTTTTCCAGGTGGCAACGACCGTCAACAATAGCTTCCACTGGCCTCTGTGATTCTTCAAAAAATTCAAAAATCGATCTTCAGAAAATTTGGAAAAAATCTAATTTTATCTTTTTTCTTTTCTAAAAATATGTCTTTTCGATAATGAATTCCTTGTATTTTCAGCCATTTTTTTGTTTTTTTTTTCTCAAAATTTCTTTTTTTTGTCTATTTTTTGTACAAAGGTGCCACCCCCCCTAACCGAAAGCATCCCTTGAATTTTGATTTTTCAAAATACTAACTCCAGTTTTTTACCCCAAATTCTGAATTTTCACGCCTTCAGATGACCCAAATTCTTCGAAAAGTCGAATGGGTCCGAGTGGCTGGGAAATGGACGAAAATGTCCGTCATGGGAGCGGATTTGTCCGACGAAATGCTGGAAATTCCGGCAAACAAGGAAAATGAGAATCGCGTGGTGATTCTGATGATTCCAGGTAGAGAAATCGTGAAAAATATCGATTTTTCGAGAAAATTCCAGATAGGAACGCCTGAAAAAGTGATGAAAATTGAAAAAAAAATCTGGAAAAATATTTTTTTGAAATTTTTTAAAATTCAAACATTCAAAAATATAGAAAAATTAGAAAAATAGGAGGATTTTAAGCAGAAATTTCTCTCAAAAAACTGATTTTCAAGCCTTTTGTTCATGAAATTTGACTTTTATAAAATCGCATTTTCTGAAAACCTGTAAATTTATTTATTTATTTTTAAAAAATCTGTGCATCCAGATGCCCTCTCCAATTATAGGAAATCCCGGAAACGAAGGATTCTACGCGCATTTCGGGCGAGAAGTGCTCCGAAACCTTCTGGCGAGAGATGCGGAGACGCAGAGAAACGAGAAGAACGAGTATCTGTTCTATACGGTGTCGAGTCTGAATCACGTTCGAATGCCGGATCATTTGAATTCCGATGGCGAGCATCGGAATCATGGTGAGAGCTTCGGTTTGGCGGGAATTTCAAAAACTTGAAAAAAAAATTTTCGGAAATTTTCAAATTGGCGCCGGATCATTTAGCAACTAAAACAGAGCAATTTGAAGGGTTTTCTAAGTTTAAAGCACTAAATAAAATGCCAAAAACTGGAAAAAATCAGGTATTCGAAATTTTGAAAAAACATTTTTTGGATTTTTGAATTTTTACAAATTGGCGCCGGATCAGTAAAAAATAAGAACAAAGCAATTTAAAGGATTTTAAAGGTTTTAATCACTAAATAAAATGCAAAAAACAAAAAAATTTTGAAAATTCTTTTTCGAAAATTTTCAAATTGGCGCCGGATCAGTTGAAAATCGAAAAAAAAAATTCAGTGTTATTAGTTTCATATCGCTTGAATATGCCAAAAAATTTTCGAAAAACAATTAAAAACAGATTTTCGGAATTTTGACAAAACAAATTTTCAAAAAAAATTTTTTCGAAAATTGAATTTTTTTTCAAAATTATGAAAATTTCAAAATTTTTGAAAAATTCAAAAAAAATTCAAAAATTTTCAATTTAGCGCCAGATCAGTTAGCAACAAAAACAGAGAAATTTTTAGCAATTTCCAAGCCGAAAGCACGTAAAACATCTCAAAAATTTCCCCTCCTCCAGATCGAATCTCTCTCGAAGAGCAAGTTTCTCACAAGCTCGCCTTCTGCAAAGAGCTTTTGCCACGTGGCAAGCAGCTCTACGTCCTCGGCCACAGTATCGGCTCCTACATGATGCTGCGAATCCTTCCAGAAGTGATTCTAGAAGGATTCCACGTGGCAAAAGCCGTCGGACTATTCCCCACCATCGTGAACATGGCCACATCACCGAATGGGCGGAGACTTCAGGGAACGTTGGCTGTATGTTGCTAAAAACCCAAATTTCGAAAAAGGCGCCAAATTTGAAAAAAAAATTCAGACCTTGAACCATCACGATTGGCTGACAAAATCGATATGTTGGTGGGTCGACTATCTGCCAAGTTTCGTCAAAAAATTCTTGGTCGGACTCAATTTGAGACATCCGAATGTAAGCCGTGGCCGAGTTTTTCAATGGCCTAGAAATCCAAATGCCTTTCAGACTCCTCCGGAAATCGTAGACGCCGCCGTTGAGCTCGTCCATCTTGACGTCTTCAGAAACATTGTGCACATGTCGAATGACGAGTTGGATATTGTTTTGGACCTCGACGAGCGTCTCATGGAGAAACAAGACATGGTGCATTTCTACTATGGGCTGAAGGATGGATGGTGTCCCGTGGAGCATGGTTGGTTGGACAGAAAACGCGCTCTAGTACCCTTGTGAAGCGACATTTACATCATTGGAACCCTTTAAAAATGAAGCAAAAAAAAAATAAAAAAGAGTTTTGCGCTCGATGAGAATCGAACCCCCATCGCACGCTTGGAAGACAGATGCTAGACATTACACCACGAACGCGCATAAGCACCCTTAGCGTACGAGAGACGCAGAGAAAGTAAGTCGCCGCGCCCTTGTTTTATACGCGAACCGCTCCCTCTCCTCTCGCCGCGTTCGTGGTGTAATGGTCAGCATGGATGCCTTCCAAGCATTCGACGGGGGTTCGATTCCCCCCGAACGCAGAACTCTATTTTCTTCTTTTTGGTTCTTTTTGCTTCACTTTTGAATATTTCTAATGATACAAATAAGCTCTAAACAGCATTCATACAAATTTTTTACTGTTTTCCAGGCTACTCAATGCGAGAGCGCCTCGGCGACGGACAAGTCACACTGGACGAGCACGACTGTGAGCACGCTTTTGTGATTTCGGAAGGCGATATTATGGCGAAGAATGTCGTTAAATATTTTGATTGATTTTTGGACCTCCCTGTGATATTTTAGATGCTTTTTTTTAGTAATAAATTATTATATTTTTGAGAATTTTTTGTTTTTTTTTTCAGGTTTAATGACTGCTTTGAATTCAATAACCGCTTTGAACCACATTCCTTATTCTTTAAAACTCCTTCACCTGTCAGATTCATCTATGGCCCTTAACTGCAATAAAAGGGGCGGAGCTTCCCATGAGAAGTGGGCGGGGCTAAAAAAGCAAGTTGTCGCCTGTCCGAAGATATATAGAGGCCTCACAAAAACAACCCATCATTTTATGCAGTTTTTTAGATTATTCAGGATTTATGTTTTTTTTGGATCCTGGGAGTTTCTGATTCCCTGAAGCATATGCGAGAGACGCAGAAAAGCTGTCGACCCGCAGCGCCCTTCTTTTCTACGCAAACCACTCCTTTCTCTCTCGCCGCGTTCGTGGTGTAACACAGGTCCCGGGCGCGCATACGCATAATGGATGGGCGACGGAGGACGCGCCGATGAATTGGGTACAGGGAAAGGACGGTATGGGGCATATACGGGGCATATGGGGCACACCGCCGCCGCGAAGCATCTTCTCGCCTGGCTTGCTGGCACTCGATGAAATGAACTAAAACGTTGGTTGGGGGTTCCTAGAAGTATCAGTTAAGTTCTATTGTGATGTGATTTTGTTCAGGTCTTCCGATTTCGTACTTTTCCTTTATTATTCCATATTTTTTTATATTTTGAACGACATATTACTGATTTTTCGAAACTCAATGTTTTGGTTTTGAAAAAGACTTATGGCAGTTTCCATTTAAATTTGATATGCAATCAAAAACAGAACAAAATGGGAAAAAATTCGCTAAAAATTGTTTTTTTTTTCATTTGTTCAAAAAATGTCTCACTTTCACTTTTTTGAAATTACATGAAAAATTGAAAATTTTTATAATTTAAACTTTGTAATTATTGTATACTTACCAACTTACCTTTTACTCCACCTGAAAATACGATTTTTACAATAATTACAAAGTGAAATCAAAAAATCTCAATATCACCTATTTAGGCGAAAAACATAGCAATTAACGAGTGAAAGACATGTTTCTGCAAGAATTCAGCGATTTTTTAGTCTGCCATAACTCTTTTTCACAAAAAACATCGAAGGAATAATCGAAAAACCAGAAATGTAGGCTCGAATTGACGAAAAATTGACAAAATTGCCGGTGTGGATTTACGGTAAACAATGGGCGCATCCGGGATTTCGGAGTGTTGTAGTCGGCCTACCGTATCAGACCCATATCGCACACATCGCCCACCCACCTAGAATCCATCTAGGATACGCGCGCATTCGGAACACTCGATTCAGCCTCTCCCGCATCGCACATGATATCAATTTTAGAGTTTAGTAAACTGTGTCTGGCTAGATTTGTATAATTTTTTGTAGTCGAAAGTCCACCTGCGTTCGGTTAGTATGTTTTTCAGTCTAGCCATTCTGAAAAGTATTCTTTCACCTACAGTATACCTTTTCGAAAATCCAGTTTCCGCCTCATTTCACAGAAAATCTTTTTTTCCGAGAAATGAGATAGTAAGCAAACAGAAAAAGTTATATGCCATCACATATTCTCGCTAAGTTTTTAACTATCAGTCAAGTCTGTCTCTGCTTCTGGATGTCTGAATGTCATCCAATTTTTCTAAAAATTGCACTTTTCAATTAAATTTCGAAGTTCGAATAAAAATATAAAAAGCTTTCTCTACTTTTGGGAATTCCGTGATTAGAAGGGATTAACGAAAATTCGAATAGTAAGCAATATTTCACAGATTTTCTCTATTGAGCCGGATTTTACATATTTTCCTGTCTAACACAACTTTCTCGAATATTGCCTATTTTTATTTTTGTTTAGCAAAAAAAATTGTTTTTGCAAATTTGGATTTTTTTGGAAATCGACTTTTTTTTTGGATAGATACAAAATCAACTAAAATTTTTCTGAAAATTTTGAAGTATACTAATCAAAAATAGAGCTACATTTTTGTAGTTGACAGCTTTTTTCGGCGCCTAGAGGTGCCTACTTCCACGTGGCATATCTCTTCAAGGAGGGATGCTACAAAAAACCTGACAACTGGAAAAATGTTGCTCTTCTCTTGAACTTCATTTTAGTATTTGACAACTCTGTTGTAGATTTTTCCTTGAAGAGATATGGTACTTGGAAGTGTGTGTGTCTTTTGGCCCCGCTGTCGTTACTAGCTCCCGAACCTCTTCGACGTAGCAAATCTCTCTAGGAACAAATTTTTCAAAAACGTTGTTCACTGCAAAAATGAAGCACTTAATTTGTTTAGTATGCTGGCAAACTTTCAGAAAAATCCATTAATTTTTTAATTAATTTTCAGAGCTTCAAAATCTTCGAATTTCAGAATTTTTTGAAATATTGAGAAACTTTAGCCTAAATCTTCAGGAATAATTTTTCAAATCAAAAACGAACAAAAATCTACAAAATCTACTATGCTATTCATGCCATCCATCCGATCATCTATTCACTTTTTACACCCCAAACAAACCGAATGCGTTCTTTCCGCTCTTCATTTCCTCTTGTTTTCTCATTTTCCCTCCTATCCTATCCCATTGAGATGACAACAAAAAAAAGGGAACGGGACCAAAAACATATCAATGTTGTTGTTGTTGGTGGTGTCTTGCAGAAGTCGAAGAGGAGGATTTAATTAATAGTGGTGGTGGTCAGTGGCGGAAAAATCACTCTAAAGAATCTTCTTACTTTTCCCACTATTAATGGTATTGGGACATTAAAACATTCTAGGTCTTGTGATTCTTCTTAAACCTAGTTTTTAATTTCAAAATTCTCAATATCTTCAAAGTTGTTATTTTTGTGAAAATTTGAAAATTGGAGACCTAAAAAACTCCAATGTACCGTAAACCCGCTGTCTATTAAGACTATTAACTTTGAGGCCATATAGCTCGTTTCCTATGAAAAATATCAAAAAGTGGTCAACTGGTAAAATTTTTATCATAAAATCACCAACATTTTCTTAGATGGCATCTTTTTGATACCTCTTACAGGGGCCGAGATAAATTGGCTCAAAGTGAGATGTTCGAAATTTCGAAAATCTCAGGTTTTCTCAATTTTCCGTTTTTCAATTACACAGATTTTCAATTTTCATATTTAGCCCGATTATTCCAAAAAATGCTTCTGGTCTGTTTTTCCCTTTTCAGCAATCTGTGAAACATTCTAGTATTGTTAATTTTGAGATCTAGAAAAACGGTTTTAATTTTTGACCCCGTCTTTTTTCAATCCCATTAGTTTTGCAATGGAAATTTCAAAGAAAAGTACACCACTCGCGTTCTTCCTCCTCTTTTTCCACTTAATTTAAATTACAGAACAAAAAGTACGCGGGCACTTTTTATGGTCCCAAGGACAACTGTACTTGTTGGCTCTTATTCTACTCTCCTGCTCTTGCTCTTTTCCCTTTCCTGGTCTCTTGTGTGTTCCTTTAAATTTCTAATAGAGGCAAGAAAAGAAAAAAGTGGAGAAAGCGAGAAAGAAACCATGAATCACATGAGAGCTCCAAGAAATTTTTGGGTATTTAAAGGTGCGGAAAATCATTCTTTTGGTTTTTGAACTTTTTGGGAAATCTTGGAAAGTGTAAAATCTGAAAGAAAAAGCAAAAAAATGGCTCACCCTTTTTTCTTTTTTTGACTTTTATTTTAGCATTTCAGCTTCTTTTTGACCCATTTTTTCACGTTTTTCAGATTTTTACCTACCTCAAAAACTCTTTTCCCCTCCTCTACTTTTCCACTTTTCCCCCAAAACTAGGTAGATCAAATTTCCAGTTTTTGTTTTCCCGCAAAAAAGTTGTTGTTGTTCTTTTTTTAGTCTCAAAATGGACCCCATTATTTTCCCAATGGTTCTCGTCAACAACAATAACGCCCTTTTTTTTAGGCTACCACCTGAAAATTCTTCCAAGAAATCCGTTGTTTAAAGGTGGGGAGACATGAAAAAATAACGTTCTCGAAATTCCGTTTAAATATGCCCCTCGTGGAGTGGAACTTGTGGGGGCGAGGATTGAGGATGCGGCGTCGCTACCGGCTGAGCCACGCGGGCAAAGAGAAAGCGCACGCCCGATTGCATACATAAAGGCGAGGACGACAGCTGTACGCAGAGTGACATTAAGCGTTGTACACCGCCCCGGTAGAATGCATATTCTGGCTATAAAAATCCTACGAAAAATCTCATGTCCCCCCACCTTTAAAGATCCTAAACTTTTGAGAAAACTAGATTTTATAATAGTAAAACCTATGAGTTTTAGATATTCCAAAATTCCAGTATTTCGAGAAATTCAGAATATTGAAAGAATTAATTAAGAAATTCAAAAACATTGAAAACCTTTAAAATTTCCAACTTTTTTTTCTGAATTTCCAGTTTCTCCATTACCCAGATTTTTTGTTTCGCTTTTTCTATTTTCTCATTTTTCGGTCTAGCCCCATTATTCAAAAAAAAGAACCCAATAAATGAATGTGTCTAGAAACTCCAATAGCCAATTCCTAGCTAAAAAATGAACCAAATTGGCATTTTTATAATATAAGGCCGCCATTTTTTTTGCGATTGGAGTGTGTAGAATGTTCTGGAAGATTTAGAAAAATAGATTTTCAAAATTTCAAAATTTTCGGTTGTCAAGTTATAGTTTTTTTCAACTAAAATTACAGTACACCTTTACTCCTAACGACAGTACTCTTGAAATTATACCATACGTCTCCCTTTAATAGCACGCCAACACCATATGCTTGCGCTTTGAGCTCAATTATCTCAATTCCTATAAGAAATATCAAAAATTTGAAAACTGATAAAATGTTTGTTATAATATCAGCTACATTTTAATACTTGACCACTTTTTGATATCTCTAATAGGAACCGAGATAATTAGACTCAAAGTGAGCGCTGCTATTGAGCTACGAGGTCGGCGCCGTTGGTTGCGCCACCACTATGCTTGCGCTTTGAGCTCAATTATCTCGA